AACCCAAGACCTAGCAAACTCAGTACAAAGCCTCAATATGTACTTGTAATCATAACTGCCATCACAAATCCACTTCACTGTGCCTGCCACTCATTTCAGAGACACCCAAAAACTGTCTTTCAGTTTAGGATTCTTTCCGGCGTGATTAAATCTTGCTCTCCACCATACATACTCTAATCAGATCTAACAGGAGTGCAGGAGAGCTCAGGGAGCAGGGGAGGCGAGATCGTTACTAGATTACAAGGCACTCAGAGAATCACTTGCAGGAGGGATTGTGTCCTGTCTGTTAGCTTCTTTTCTATTTTATTTGCTTTATACCCCCACCCCAAACAAGACATCCTCTTATTTGTCAGCCTGATGGTCTTGTCAGTTTGGCACTGTCAATTCCTCCACAGCACAGACAGTTACCTTCTGGAGTGCAGCAATACTGAATTATCAGACTAGAATCTCCACGTAATCAATAAAAGGAGACAGGCAAATCAACAAAAGGAGGAAAGCAGATCATATTACTGCTTTGAATTTCCCCTGAGAAGCAACTACCTCCCTCCATGGACTGCACAGGGAATTTAGACATTTAGCACAGGTTCTCATTGCTAGGCTTCTACATTTTCAATCTTAGAGTACTTATCCAAGGCATCTAAAGAAGGAGGTCACAGTACTACTTTAATTGAGTTCATGCCACTTGCAAAGCCAGCAGAGTCTCATTTGCTAGCCTGGTGGACAGCCACACCACCAGTCCCTTCCAACAGCTACTGTGGAATCTCTGGAATTTCAGAAACTCATCCAAATGCTGCTGGGCTTATAGCAGCTCCTTAATTTTAACAGTGGCTTGAAGAAGCTCTTCTCCTATATGATTTCAAACACTGTTACAGTGAGTTAGACTGGGTAGTAGAGAACCATTATGGAAAGATGATAGAGAATGGGAAGCTCAAGGATTTAAGAAAATAAATAAATAACAGTTGTGTTACTTGGTCAGCACAGACTCTGGTGAAGAGTGTGAAATGGAGACCACGTGTAGCTAATAGCCAGAATCTGCTCCTGCCTTTGCTTGGCCTCACAGCCTGGCACTGAGCACCTCTGGCACATGAATCCGATTGCACTTCCATCTCCTCACCCTTCTGTGTCACCTCCCACTGGCTATAGAGATGGAGAGATACATAATCTCATAAGCAGATCTAGTGAAATGTAGGAAAACTGAGGAGAGTCTTTTTTAGACGAAGTACTTTGTCTCAGGCTTTCTGAGGATCAATCACTGACGTCCATTTATTCTAGTTTCTATGGCAAGGACTTGACTGTAAGTACACCAGACAGAAGCCTTCTTGATTTGTCTCCCAAGAATATTCTTTCCTACTTAGTACAGGAAAAACTTCAAGTTACTGAAAGAAACAGGGGAGTCCTAACAGCACTTCTGACTCCCTGACCTTACCCGCCTTGGATGGAAGGCACATCAGACATGAACTGGTCTTTGCCCAATCTCTTCTATGCAATATCCATTACCCCATGGAGGGGCTACATCACCCTTAGAAGCTATGATGCTTTAAGACTGAAAACACCGTTGTCTGCTTACAGCACTACCAATATAGAATGATCCATTAGTTACTGGAATTGTATGAAAGAATTTGAGGCCTTGGCAGCAGTTGTCCATTCTGTGCCCTGTCAAACTGCAGCCACAGCAAGGTGTCTCCACCTGCACACAAGTACTGCCTGAGCAGATCACTGCAACCAAAGGCTACGTCACATCCAGTGTCACTTGCTGAATACACAGAGGTGTCACTTCACTGACAGGACAAACTCCCACAGGCTTTAGATATAGGTGACATACTGAATACTATATATTTGTATTGTTTCACCATGAATAAAAAGAATCCAAACCTCTTTTCTAACTATGACACAATCAGTTTCCTTTTTGAGTTCCTTTTAGACGTATAATAGTCTTTTAGACGGCAAAGTATAAAACGTATGAGAAATACAGCATTATAAATGTATAAATGCTGTACCTGGAAATGGGAAATAGACTTTACCATCAGCAACAAATGAATCATCTGCTTCTCTCCCTGGAGTTGCACGTATGTCTTGTATTTTTAGTACCTTAAATAAATGTTAAGTATGTGCTTTGCTTTGTGATAAAGAGTGATTTTCCTGGTAGCCAACAGGCACAGAAGATTCTTTATTCTACACTCCCATGCCTCTTAACCCTTTACTCTACATCTTGAGCTGAAAACCCCTTCCAAGAGTCACACTCCCTTCCGTTAACAGGACAGAAGTCTAAGGACTAAGTAAAGTGAGACAGCCCTTCTCGGATAACAGATAGCAGACTGGAACAGTGGGTCAATAGCAGTCTCTTATCAGAAGAGCTAGCTTGCCTGCTCCTTCTTCATTCCTCCCCTTACGCACCAGCCTGGCTTCCCCAGCCCTGTGGCAGCTCTTCAGTCACTATGCAGAAGTGCCACTGTGACACGGCAGCATCTCTCACTTTGATTCCCTTCCCAGCCTCCATCTCAACTTTTCCCCTTCCAACAGTATTTGGATCACAGGCCAGTTGAAGTCAGAAATTGCCATAATCCTTGGGTGTCAGACCAAAATATCATTGGTAGCCTGCAATAATTTTGTTCATGAAGGCAAAACTCACTGTTTGCTAATGCGATTGCCCGTTATCAAGTAGTTGTATCGGAGCAGGATAAGGCTGCTGTATAACACCACAATAAATGCTGTGGAGTCAAATACACTTCAACCTGCACAACTTTTTACACTTAACACAGTCTACAAATATTTATCCCCTGTGAGCTGCTTCTCTTGTTGCCAAGGAACCTCAGGCATGAAAGCTACGTTTTGCCTGACACTGGGCCTAAACCAGTAGGGAGTTCGTGGTTTCTAGTTATAGACAAAATTAGTTTCTCAGGATTGGGACCTCAGCATACACATTATATGTTGTCCTGAACTACAACATCATTGTTTTGATAACCTTAAATATGCTCTGTTTCTAATATATATTTATTAGGACCTCAAGTTCCCACACTGGTAGACATGCATTCATATATATATATCTTATTCATACTGGTGCTGGCCAGAGCATGGCCAAGTTATGGGTCTCAGGACAGACTTGAGATTCATTTCTCCCAAATCAAAATGCTTACAGGCTCTTAACCTACTGATTTCACTGATAATAACAGGAGTAAAAACCAACACCATAGATAGCTAGAAGCACATGAGATGAATCCTGTTCTTTATGTTATGTCAGGAGATGGATAAGAGACAGAGTCCAGAAAGTCCTGAATCACAGAGCTGGTCACTCCTAATACTAAATAAAGACCAAGGGCAAGCATAAGTGTAATTTTGTGGGGGAATAATGCATTTATGGTAGCGCCTTTTAATTATGTGTGTCTAAAACCTAATCACACAATAGTTGGCCGAAACAATTCCCAAGACTGTGCTTAAGAAAACCTCTGGTGATTTTCAGAATCTTCTAATCCAACACAGTCCATAAGAGAGAACTGCTGAACTGACATTGGCATATCCAATGCCCATGAATCTTACATTTTCACCCATGTCCTCACAGCACGGATGGCACTGTTGATGCCTCAGCTGTTTTAAGGACCACTGGCAATTAACTACTATTGCTGCTTAGGGCAGCGTGCTACAAATTGCTGGTTGTGAGAAGCTTTATGAATGATCATAGATCTTGTGCTGTAAAACCTAAAAACCCCATCCAGTTTATAGGAAGAAGTTTGGCCATTAACAAAAATTTCCTGCAAAGAAGAAAATCCTCTGGGGTAATGAATTTGTAATGAATTACAAATCTCAATACAGCGCATAATAGTTTACGCACTGTACCGAACTTTCACGTTCTTTCTCGTAAGCAGCACAGCACTATGGATCAGTATTAAAAAATACATGGGGAGGACACTGAGTAGGAAAGGAACTTCTCAAATATTCATGACAGAAGCTCAAAAATATCTGAATGTCCAATTCTAAGATACACGCTATGACCATTAGGCCATGATGCCAAGTAACGTAATAGAAAGAAGGGGCTGAAAGTCCTAAGACTCTGCTAATGGTTTACAGGTAATTCTTGGGTGTACTATGAGTGGAGTTCAGCCAGAATGCAGTGCTAATGGCCAAATATTAACTGAAAGATTAGTTTCAATATAAGAAAACACCCTTTAGGAAGTATTTTCTTTTCTAAGTGATCTTAGCTCCATCGCTTTTTTTAAAACCACTCACCTACCTCCTTCTGAGGGTGGCACCCGCACCATAAGGACAACAAAAACTAATGGAACTTCCTGGTATTTGAGAAATATATAGCTCAGATACCCTAATTAGTAAATTCCTTTCCATGTGGCCTAGAACACAGACATTATGCTTGCCTATACCAGCATTACTTGTGTCTCCTATCTCCAATCATACGTCTTTAAATCACAAGTGAGCATGAGTATAGATAAGATGCAGAGACTCTCCAAACACCTCTTACAGATTTGCCTTATCAGAGGTGAACTTGGAGACATGTAGCTGTTAACAGTATTTCATTTGCTGGCTTTACCATTAATGGCCATCAAGGAAATCCTACCATGCAAACAAGAGGAAGACTAGACAGAACTGGGATACATCATCTGTCCTATGCAAGAAAAATGCCCATAACTGAAGTTCACACTCGGTACTGTTTCAAGTATTCAAGTAATTTGCCTGAGACTTCTCACATGCAGCATCATTTTCTGCCTTAGGAGACAAATCATATTCAGTCAAAGAAATTTTGGAACCTGAAGACAAGGTCTTCAGAAGGCATAGGGAGTGACATGGCAGATGAAGACCATAAGCTCATGAAATGAAGGTGGAAAAGACTGGAAGGTAATGTTCAGAGAAGAAACCTTTCTTACTGTGGGAACTGGAACTTAGCACTGGGAAGACCAACAAGGGCAGGGGAAAGTCTTATGGAAACACTGGATTTTGTCCTAGTTCTGCATACCTTCGGCTCTGTGTAACTGAGGTCAGAAAACTCAGCTTACCTCGCTCGCACGTTCTACCCCAGTAGCCGGTGCCCGTGCAGTCACAGATGAAGCGGTTCCAGCCGTCCTTGCAGAGCGCGTTGTTCTTGCAGGGGTAGCTGTCGCACTGCTTGGTGCTGAGGCGGGAGCAGGAGGACTTGACCCCGGCAGCGTTCTGGGCCTCTGCCAGCTGCCGGATGTTCTTGCTTCGCCCATCGATGAACAGGTCTCGGATACAGCCGACGTAGCCGTAGTTGAGCATGGCTGTCCAGAGCTCTGTGGGAAGGATGAGACCTGCCCGGTTCTCCGGCAGCCCACCGAGGTACATGTCGCCTTCCAGATCGAGAATCTCACTCTCCCCGCTAGCGGTGAACGGGGTGCGCCTGCTGTTCACTGAGATAGTACCTAGAGGAGGAGGAGAAGACGACAGCAACACTTTCACTAACAGTCTCAGTCTAGTTCATTTTTTTCCCAATAACTGAGTGAGGTTCAGGGCAGGAGAGTGAAGACAGTGTCTTCTACACAGCTCCCTCTTCTCTTGAACCACAGGCCAGAAGAAGTTCCATGCAGTGACCAATCAACACGTGTGTGTATCCCAACTTGCATCATAGGGACACGAGCATAACAAGGCAATGGCTAAATAATAACATGTAAAAACTGAGCATTATTCAATGGTATTCATCCAGCAAAGCACAGATTTACTGAGAACGTACAGGAGTTTGATGGTATCAGGTCTAGAGAGAAACAAGATAAGTAAAAGTGTATTAATTCCCATTACATAGCTCTTCCAGAAAACACTTCATCAGTACCTCCAAAGCTGGACCTGGATGACGGAAATAATAGACCCTCATCAAGTTTGTAGATAACATCAAATTGGGGATGTGCATTGGAGGAAGCACAGGGCTACCATTCAGAGAAACCTTTACAAGGTGGAGCAAAGGACTACTAGAAATGTTTGACGTAAATCACCAAGAAATAAATACAATGGGGCAGAATAACCTTACACATGGGGCAGAATAGCCTTACACATAAGTTCAGGCTAAGGAGCAACTCTGCAGAAAAGGACCTGGGGATATGGTGGACAACAATTTGAACACGAGTCATCGGTGTGCATTCGCACAGGTTGCAGCAGAGGAAACTTCAACTCCATAGAAAGGAACACGACACCACCATGAGGGTGGTCAAACGTGGGAACATAAACTTCAGAGAGGTTGTGGAATCACCATCCTGAAGGCATTCAAACACAACTGGACATGACCCTGAAGAAAGCCTAGATTTCGGCAGAGTTTGGACTACAAATCTCCAGAAGTTTGTTCCAAAAGAAATTATTCTATGGTTTTACAAAGAAAGTTAAGTAATCTAACTTCCTTTTTATTAACAGGAAAATCAAAGTAGAGAAAGATAAAGGTTATCTCTGAAGAACAGTTATTATTAAATCTGTAGTGGCTTCCATATGCTCCAAGCAAGATGCGGGCATATTGCACTGAGGCGATTCCTGTATATTTCAAGAAATTGTCCCAGCACATTAAATAATCTAAACATATAATACAGAAATATAATCAGAATGCACGAAGTAGGTGCAGAGAAGTGAAGTGAGTTGTTTAAGGTCAGACAGTGCATCCAAAGAGAAAAAGGGAACATAATGCAGGTGTCTCACATCCCAGAGCAGGGGACTTTTCAGAGCTTTCGTGATAGGGACATCTGCCCACCAGACACTCAGCTAAAACTCAGCAATTCACTTTCCCGAGCTATAAATCATTGCATCCAATTGCCTTGTCATTAAGATGGTCTGTCCTCAGAGACAACTATCCAAGCTTTAAGATTAATTCCACATCATTGCTTTTTTATCATACACCCCTACGATAAGGTGGGAGAGTTTAGTTAATAGAGTTAGCTCTATTTTGTGTCTCTGTGAGAAAGTGCAGTCGTGTACACATGCTTTTTCTTCAGCTGTAATAGGTGTCTTCTTAAAGAACAGCATGTATGACAGAGATACAAGGTATTTCATGTGTGTGATGTTCAGTAATAATTTAGGAATAATGTCAGAAGCAGCAGAGTGCCAGAAGCAACAGAGGCGTTACAAATTAAAGGCTCAAAGAGAACCAAGGTTATTTGATGAATCATTTTGTAAAAACAAGCTGCAGCACCACAGACATTTTCCCTTTTACAAAGTAAGTAAAGAGAAGATGTGACAATACACCTACAGTCATAAAGGCAGGGTGTCACGGAGCCACAGGATCACAGCCCCCCTTCCAGCATCTCCACTGTTACTCCTCAAAAGCAGCCTGTGGAACACATATTACTGCAAAGACTAGAACAAACCAAAATATGGGAGGGCTGAGCTCCAAACAGCTGCTACTATGGAGAAAACAAACACCACCTGAAAAACCCACAAAGGTAAAGAAAACTCCCCAAAAGAGAAGAAATACTAGATATACCAAGGAAAAGTGTAAAACCTGGAGAAAGAGCATGAGATGATGAAAGGAAACAGGCTAGACAGCAGCCTCAACTTTCTGCCTGCTCTTGTTCCTGCAAGGAGATGGTAGAAGCTTAGATGCACAGCACTTTTGAGACCAAGCTGCTGAAATGTAGAAATTCTGAATTGGCCCTAAGAGTTAACATGAGCTAATGTCCTATTCTGCCCCCATTTTTTTTTCTTTTTTTCTCTCTTTTTTTCTCCAAATCCATGTTTATAACTCTGTTTAGGTAGATCACATCCCATCTTGAGAAATCAGAAGCATCGAAGCATCTCCCTTCCAGTCCCTTAGGCACTTTGTGCAGGGCTAAAGAACAAATGGAACAGGAGACTCCAGTTACCGAGGGCAGAGCCAGTATGCAAAGCAGTGCACTGATGCAACCATTGACCAGACCTTCCAGTAAGATTTTTAATGTCTGAGTGGGTGGGACAACATGTGCATATTGTAGTCGATGACCAGCTGAAAACGTTGCCTTGTGTAACCTGCTCCGTCTTCCCCAGCTAGAAACTGTGGCAGGTTTTGTGGGCACTTTGTAGGAGCTTTCCCCAAGGACAGGAAGGTTACAGGACACTAGGTGTCCGTGTCCACGCTGTCAGCTCCTCTCAGAGGAGAGAGAAAAAACAGCTTTTGTTGCTCTGGCAGCCAACACAGACCAAAGCATGCACAAAGCTTAAAGGGACTAGAGGTTCCAAAGGTTATTCCAGCATGACTGCCATGCTTCCCCAGAATTTGAGCTCCTGCCTTAGTATATTGCAGTAGTGAATGTTTGAATTTTTAGGCTATTTTACTAAACTCAGCAGAGCATGAAGTTTTGGACTGTTAGAGAAATGGGAAGAAGAATGGGAGAGATGACACCTAATAAAAGCCTGGCTGCTTTAGTAATGAGTAACCTCTAGATCACTAGTTCATTAAACCCCAGCATGTGTTTTGTAGCCTACATTAAGTAAGTTCATTATTTCAGTTCAGTTTCTAGATGACAGGCATCCACATTTAAAAAAATGGAAAATAATAAATCTCCAAGGTGTAACTGTTCTCTGGTCTGCACGTGGGAGAAAAGCCAAGGACTAAACAAGAAGAGATCCTGAACTTACTTCTCACACCTATCAAAAGCACCACTGGATAAGCGTGGTTGATACTTGATACTTGTTTATACTTGATGCCAGTTATCCAGGTTTTCTGGGGCTACAAGACATCAGTCACTAGGACCATTAACCTAGTACTCGCCATCAGAAAATGCGATTTTAAAAAAAAGAAAAAAGACAATAATGTACAAATCTGTTCATTGTTGTGGAGCAAAGCACTTTCAATTCAAAATTCAAATTCTAATCAGTGACAAACATCACAAACCTCCCTATCAAGCAACAAACAATCAGTCCTACAGTCTCCATCCCCAAGTAGCAATGCCATCTGTCACACCTTCCTAGTCCAAATGAACATGTGCCCCCCTTCCTAGGTTTTTACAAACTTAGCAGAGAGGTTAGTGTCATTTTTGTTACTTCTCCTTTTGCAGCTGCCTCTCCAGCGACCAGACAGTCCCCAAGCGAGCAAGCAAAACTAAAGGCAATACTGAATGCAAATAATTGAGTTTATCCTTGGAAGTTAATTAAATTTTAGCAACTCTAAAGAAATCAAAGCTCCATTTATTTATTTATGGCTTCCTTTATAAAATGTTCCTATCGATGTCTTTAGGAGACAGCAATATATAACCACAGATACTAAGTCCTAGTAGAGCACCGCATCACGCCAAATACAAAGAAACTCCTTACATCATCAAAGTGAAAACTAGCTTCAGGCAAAGACCTGTTCAAACAGCTACGCTTTGCATGGTATCTAAAACTCAGCTCTCTTGAAAACCCAAGGGAAGCAAATTCTAGCACTGTGTTCTCTCTACCGATGGTATTCAGCAACTGGAAACATAAAATTAGGGACCTAAAGCTATCATCTGGAGATCACCAGACAAATCCCAAATCCACTTGCAAATGTAAACAAATTTCTCTACGAAGGGATATACAGCCAGGCTTTGAGATCCCAACAGTTCAGGGAGAATCCAAGTACAATTGTTCGCAAATTTTCAACATTAAGTTACAGTATTTGATAATTTTGTTTTCCTTAGACAATTTCGGAGTACAACAAGAGTACGTTAGCTTGATGTCCAGCACTAGAAACAAACAAAAGAACCCCCCATCTCTTGGTAACTGCATGGTAGGTATATTATTAGAAATAAAATAAACCACATTTTTTACAAATAAGAAGCTGCAAAGGAAATAAGAACCTGACTCAGATTAGAATTTTGCATCCAAGAGAGAGTAAGGAAACCTAACCGAAAACTACAAGATGCTACAGGAAACAGAACAGGATGAAAATGTTGATTTGTTGCCATAATTTTGTCACTGGTTGTCACCATTACTTTTATTTTCCTTACGACAAGATTACAAATCCCTGCTCTTTAAAGACACAGGATCCAGGAAAAGATGGTGATATTAGGTCACAGCAACAAGTTTTCACTTAGCTTCTACTAAGTTCCTTTTTGAACAGGAACCCAAAGTAGATCAGTAAGAATTTCTTAAATCAAAACCTAAATAATCATGGTTCTGAAAGATCTTAAAGATTACTATGGCCTAACAAAGAAGTCTTCACTATAATTATGTACGTAATTGCAAAGATAGGTCCAGAACATCTAAAGATTGTGAATAAAATATTAATAGACTGTCTCTGCAATATGCTATCCAAAGTTCACACTAAACATTTAATGAAAACCTAGCCATTCGCATCTTTGCTTTGCTGGATAAACATCACTGGAGTAACACTAAGCTTTTGTAAGAAGTTGACTCATATCTTTTGAAGGTTCTGAGAATTAATACACAGCCCTAGGTCTGGATCAGAAAGATGAATCTACTTAAGGAGAATGCATCACTCTACCTGATCTTCCATCTCGTTGAATATCCACATGATACCACTCTCCATCATTGGCTTTCTTCTGGGTGGCCTTGACTTTAATGGTCCCAGAGCCCATGTCCAGCAGCAAGTAGAGGTTCCCATCTAGAAGCTCAACTGCAAAGAAGTCTACCTTTGTATTTTTCTGGCTCCTGGCATCTTTCCTCTCCTGAGGCTTGCCATGAGTGAAAAGGATCAGTCCATTGGGTTCAGTGGTTCGGAAATCAAACGAGATGGAGCCCATCCTTTTGGTATTCCATTTAGGCAGACTAATATAGGCCTCAGGTGTCTCAAAGCTGATGGGATCCAGTGTAGCCACATTCTCACATACAAATTTCACTTCCCCATAGATCTTCATCTTCGTATCACCAATCCTTGCCAAGCGAGACAGCTCCAGACGAATGTCGTTATTCTTATAAACAACCTGCCAGATACAAGGAAAAATATCATACATCAATCCTGCATACAGTACAAATACCCCAATTACTTTCAGCCATGGGAGATAAACTTCTCCCAAAAGGCAGTGGGGAGCAGAAAGGAGACCATACAAGAGTCTGACATGATGACAACCAGGAGCGTGTGTAGAAATGACAGCAACGGGTACTTTGCAATGACTATAGATGAGATAAGTAGGCAGAAGAGAACATTTAACTGAAGGACAGTGAGAACAATTAACTCTACCACAGGCCCACTCTGCTGTAAAAGCTTTTGTACATGAAATACAGTATGTGTCTGGTATCATGCTGTTATATTTGCATAAATACCATACAAAATACATAACAAAGTGTAACCTCCATGTCCATTTCCGCTAGCCACAGCAGGGAACTCTGTACCACCACTGTCATTTCTCTATTATTCCTGTAAGCCCACTTAACTACCAGGAGAGGGATGCAAAAAAATTCAAGCGAGTTGCTGTGAACTGTTGGCGATTGCCCTGTGGCTCCTAAAGAGATACAAGAAAAAAAATAAAGACCTAATATTTCTCTGACCAAGAAATCTTAGATCGCTATAGGCACAAGCTTCCTATGGAAATATCTGCACAGCCTACCCTCGCTTCAAGAAACCTATGCTCTCTGTGCTAACACACAAAAGCCTGTACATATTCAGTGCCTGGACACTTACTCTCTCTGGGTTGAGGACCAGAACTGTGGACTCTGTTGCTACATGGATGGAAATTTGGCAAGACAAGAGTCCCAAACAGGCAAGCACTCCTGAGCGTGCCTGGTTTGCTCAGGAGTCCAGACCTCCTGCACTTTTCTTTCTCATGGGTACAGAATTAATTCCTTGCAAAGAGGACTCCTCTCTGCCCCGAACTGTTCTCACAGAGGCAGGGACTGGAGAAGGCACAAAACTGAAATATTTGTAAACTGTACTTCTTCTCAACCACCTTCTGTGCTTCCTGAACCCAGAGCTGGCACATACAGCAAGCAAAAGCATTTTTGCAACTAGCACAATTTTGATTGAATTCATGTTCTACGACAATACTGAAGACTGATTTCTTCTAAGGAGTCATTATTTTATAATACTTTGTATCTATTACATACAGCATATACATAGCACACATTTGATTTCTGCTTGCAAAACGCTAGCAGGATGAGCTGTCAGCAATTTGCTATGAAAAAAGAAGAGAAAAGAGATATGCATTGTTAATTCTAAGAATAAAGGAAATTCAGAGAAATGAGTGTGCAGTAAATATTAAAAGGCAAACAAGGGAGAGAATGAGCGATAAGCTTCTAAAGTAGGTAACCTCGGGATGAAAAACAAATTAAATCACAATTCAATTCATTTAGAGCAAGTGAAGAATTTCCAGCTGTCACTAAGCATTGAAGGAGAGTTTCCCTAGTGCAGTCCACCCAGCATCAGATTTTCCTGTTGCAAAAGCAAACACCCTACATATGAGTGAAATAAGAAGCCAGTTGTTAGCTCCCATTTGAGTCATGGCACGAAGCTGTAGTTCCTCCCAGTAGAGGACAGTATTGACCCACAATAGCTTGTTTTGCTCCAATTCCCACTAAAGCGCTCTGCCCTCACGCAGACTTCAAAAACGTCAAGTCTATTAATATCTGCAACAAGGAATAAAATATATTTTCAATTTGTGGGACGGTAGTAGTCTCATTCTACGGATTAACCATGTCAAACGCTCTCGCTTGACAGACCATACACCTCCTTCCAGTGACTCAGCAAGGCTCCCCCTCTCATACAGCCTCCCCCTCTTGCCCGACAAGGAGGTGCCCCTCAGGCAACCATCAGAGAGGAGCTGCAGCTGCCTCTGTACCTTGGAAACTCACACGTGAGGAGCAAGAGATGGAGTCCGTGCTCCTGCAGCTACCTGGACTGCCCAGGACTTCTGCACATACTTTGTGTGCACAGAAAGTCCAGTGATTTCCACAAACACTAGTTCTGGGCGCTGCGTGCAGTCCTGTCTCTGCAGCTCAGGGAAACAGAGGAGCTAAAGCTACAGAGGAAAATAAATAGAACAATTAAGAGGGTGAAGGAGGATGCTATACAAGGATGGCCTGAAAAGGCTGGGGCTCTTTTATTTGGAGAGGACCTGGGAAAAATATGATTGAAGACGGAGAAGGTTAATATAGAACTGCTCCTTGCCAAATCCAGCAATAATAGAACTAGAGGCACTCACTGGAATCTGTAGGGTATCATTTTAAAATAGATTTTGAGAAGTATTTATTTACACAGAGGGTAGTGAACTTCTGGCACTTGCTGCCACAGAAGGTTGTGGAAGCAGAGAGCATCAGCAGCCACAAAAAGAACCAGAAAGATAAATGGACAGCAAGTCCACAAACTGATATTAAAGGGAAAAGCAACAGATGGACCTTCCAATATTCTTAATCCAATAGCAGTGGATGTTGTGGGAATGTTAGGGGAAGGCACCACTGATAGTAGTCATGTTCACATGCTCTCCCTAAATAGCACCCCACCTGTCACTGCAGGGAGAACACTGGGTAAATGGATTGACTCTTCTTCAGGCTCACTAAGGCTTTTCTCACGTTCTTTATAAATCTACATGTCTAGTAGGTTGCACACTCTACTTCTTATCTCACTGCAGGGACAGCCTGGAAAAGAGGGTAACTGGAAATAAGCTCCTGTGGACAGAGTCCTTCTGCCAGGACATACATATGGGACTCCTTGACTGGTATAACTGCAGCACAACATTGCATTTTTGGTTTCACCCCAGTATGGAGTTGCTTTGGTGGGCAAGAGAATGCAAAGCCTGAATGAACTGTGATTTCAATGAACCTAACATAGAACTGCCCTTATAGGGTACTGCTAACAGTTGCTCAGACCAATGCTCCTCTAAACTGGACCTTGACCCAGCCTTTGGCCATATAAGAGGAGCAGACAGGTGGCACAATACCCTACATGTGATTGATGCCTGGTGCTGGGCTGTATCTAACTATGACTCGGGGACCTGCTTTCAGCAACCTCTGCAGGTTGGTGGTAGAAGGAATATGATCACATACAGGGAGACAGCTTCCAGCTCTCAGCTGAGCCACGCACAGGGTACATCTCCCCCTTTCACATATTTGATACTTGGGCAACAATTCCCATCTTTTCTGGGGAAACACAGAAGGTCTGTCTCTGGGTTTGTTTGGGGTTTGCTGCACACTGTCTTGTATTTCATTAGTCATACCAGCACCACAGCTGGAGAATACTTGAGGCAAAAGACTTTCAAAGGATCTAGAGAAAATTACAGGGAGTTAATTGTAACCCAGAAAGTCACTAACAATGGAGGGAGGATCATGAGAGCAAGTTTGAAAGAAAGGACCAAGAAATCAAGTACAAAGTAAGACCTGTGGAAGGGAGGAGAAAGGGTCTTGAATAGGTACAAGAGTTTTGAATTCAATCTTTTCAAAGAAACAGATCCACCCCAATCTGAATCTCTATTATTCAAGTGCTTTTTGTTCTACAGTATTTTCTTTAAACAAACTCAAACCCACAACCTAGCTTAAGAAATTTAAAAGGCACCTATATTTAAGGAAAATTACAAGTGTTCACAAAGCTGACTTGAGGTACCACTAACAGCCACATTTGGACATCAAGATCTTGATGTATAATCAGGTACTTCTCAGCACTATAAACAAAAGGATAAAAATAATCCTTGGGTGTAAAACCAAGGTGAATCCTGAGCAGGAATAGAGACAACTGCATTTCTGGCTTGAGCAATGAGACACTGAGGCAGCTTCTGATATCCACAGTTCAATTGTTAAACCAATGGTTCAAGAATGAGAAAAGGGAATATAATTAAATGACTGGAATGCATGTCCCATAGTGAAGAACATTCAAATTCTGTCTGTTTAATAGGTAGAGGTTAAAGGGTGATTTGATTACCATCTACGAGTGCCTGTGCAGAAAATGGAATTTGGCAATAGAGAGCTCTTCAATCCATGTGACAAAAGAATAATGGGATCCGGGAGCTAGAAATTGAAGTTAGAGAAATTCATATTTTAAAATATTATGACTTATTTTTACATGAGGGTAATTTGCTATTGAAATAATTTACTACAGGTTATGGTGTGTTCTCTGCTACTGGCAAACTTTAAATTAAAATAATATCTTGTTTTCTCTAAAAGACATAGTGAGACAGGAATTAATTATATAGCAAATCAGCCTAGATTATCATAATGGCTCTTTCTGGCCTCATAACCTATGAATCTTTGTGTTTTAATGAAATCAACAGATGCCTCAGTGCAGTTTTCCAGGATAGATGAAACACACCCTTCCCAAATGTTAAAACTGCTTGGTAAAGAAGATACTTGTGTCAATTCTGGTCTGACTTGCCACTAGTACTTTCAGTGAGGCTTTTTCATATGATTGTGGTCCTACCTTGTCACAGCTCATTAAAAAGGAAGGCAAGTAAATAGTCCAGGACAAAAAACTTGATTCTATAGTTCCAAATGTACGAGCTTCAAGAACTAGTTTCTTAGAGAGTCACCTGCTGCAAGCCAGAGAAGAAACGTTTTCACATTTCCCTGAGGAAGCTGTCTGCCAGCAGTAGACCCTACCATCGGCATTAGACTTCCTACCTCGTACTCTCATTTTACCAGCAATCTCCGAAGTAACTTGAGGGCTCTTCAGGGTATACCAAAATGCTGATTGAAACCCACACCTCTTTAACTCCAAATGAGGCCATAACTGACTCGAAGAACTGCCCCTCACTAGGACATAGTCTTCTAGGGTCACTCTAGGACATGGCTTCCATAACAACTTAGAAGTAAGCATAGCAATGAAAGCAGCGCCCATACATTTGTATCAGGTGGCTTTCTGAACATAGCTGATCTTGCCTGTTTCATCCTGTGTCTGATATGTGTATCAGAGAAGGTCAAGAGGCCTAAGGGAGTCAAGGAGATGATTCCTGGTACAGACAAACACATCCACTTTACAATTATTCCGGGAAGGAAGATAGAA